CATTCGAACAGCTTCTTCCTGGAAACCACTGCCCTATGGAACAGACTCCGAAGAGGATGTTTCCCCAATCACTACAATCTTAATCTGTCCACGTACAGGGTTAAACGTTATCTTTCCTCTCCTATCCATATAAACTACCCATTGGTGAGAAGTAAGTTCCATTCGAACAGCTTCCTCCTGGAAACCACTGCCCTATGGAACAGACTCCGGAGAGGATGTTTCCCCAATCACTACAATCTTAATCTGTCCACGTACAGGGTTAAACGTTATCTTTCCTCTCCTATCCATATAAACTACCCATTGGTGAGAAGTAAGTTCCATTCGTTCAGCTTCTTCCTGGAAACCACTGCCCTATGGAACTGACTCCCAAGAGGATGTTTCCCTGATCACTACAATCTTAACCTGTTCAAGTGTAGAGTTAACCGTATCTGTCCCTCCTATCCATATAAACGTAACGCAACACTGTACTATAAGTGGCCCTCGAGCCTTGCACTGAGTGAACCCTACGGCAATAAATCCGGTTCTTGAGTTGTTATTATTAGTTGAATTCTTAGCTGAAAGTTTCGCATAATTTAGTAGACACTAAAACTATCAGACTTGTTATTCCAGAGTAGAATAATATATGCAAAAACAGAATTTTACTGATTGAACCTTACTCTAAAAAAATTCTGTTGCTAACAAACATTTAACTGATCTATTCGCCAGCCATCCTCAGGTGTTTTCCGTCAGTAGAAAAGAAACAACTCTTAAATTAATGAACATTACTATCTTTTCTTTTTTTTTTAAAGACTTTGAAAACATATCGGGAAAACATGAAATCCGCTAAAGAATCAAAACTATAAGACTAGCGTATTACGAATATGGAGCCTCAAGTAGACTTGTTGTCACTTGATCCCCAACAAGCACTACAAGATAACATACGTGTGGAAAATTTAACGCATTCGAAATGATCATTGGTTAGTTTATGTTTGTTATTGACGGAAAATACAGCAAACAAGAAAATTCATTTCCAAATTTCCTTGAAAAGAGAAGCAAATGAAATTGCAAACAATTGCAGAACCAATTAAAGCGACAAGCGATCGAAGAACGCGAAGTTCTAATCTCATTTTCTTCTTCTTAATCTTTTCTTATATTCAGATGAACAATCGCTTCCGAGATAAAAGAAAATAAGTTTTTTCAAGAAACGCAGGTGTGCAAGATTGATAGTTCTTCCTTTTCGTTTCCTTTAGTCGAAGTTTGGAACCAGTTTTTGCTTTGCAAGAATCATCAGAAATCAATAGATGCAACTGAAGGAAATAAGAGATTAAGCATTCTACTGGTAATTTTATGTAAAATATGCTTTTACTTGCGTGCAAATTGTATACATTTAAAAGAAAAAAAAATTTCCTTTGAAAAGACATATTAGGTGGAGGAAAATATTTACATCGTCGTCACTTTTGAAAACTGCGAATGCACAGCAGAGAAAATTTATTCTTGTTTCGAAAATGAAAAACGTTGAGAAATTTTGCACATACGTCATTTTGAATTGAAGAATATCTTGACTCTTTTTATACTGGTTTTATAATCCGTGATACGACAAATAGGATTTTCTTATGCAACTCATATAGGCATAAATTCCTTGAGTAACCCGTCATAAATGCAATGTTACTAGGACGGTTAACTAATCCCTGTCGCAGACGCCTACTCAGGCATATCTGTATCTGTTCAACACCCACAGAGCCCACCTGCAATTTATATATATATATATATATATATATATATATATATATATATATGTGTGTGTGTGTGTGTGTGTGTGTGTGTGTGTGTGTGTGTGTGTGTGTGTGTGTGTGCAGGGTGTCCATAAAGTGCATGTGTACTTTAAAAAAATTATAACTTTATTTGTATTTGCGATATAAATAATTTGTAAAAAGGATTAGAAAGAAATAAATCTATATTTTTAAGGTTTTATTGAAGTTTTATTTAAGTTTCCACATGTCCCCCTTCATTAGCAATACAAAAAATAATACGATTTTGCAGTTCACAGAAAACATTTGCCAACTGATTTACAGTAATGCCTGAAATCAAATTAGTTATTTTAGCTTTACTTAAAACTAAGTACATTAAACTTTATAACATTTTTTTACAGATTATTTCTATTGCAAATACAAATAAAGTTATAAATTTTTAAAATGCACACGAACTTTATGGACTCCTATATATATATATATATATATATATATATATATATATATATATATATAAGCAAGTGTAAATGGATAAAATCCGACAGAATGTAGAAATTTTGAAAAACAAACAAAAATCCATAATTATAGTTAAAATGAAAGAATTGTCGACGTCAGACGTTTCGGTTTTAATAAACCATTTTCAAGACAAAATTCATTAAAATACAAATTCAGTTCAATATGACGAAAACGATGGACATAAAAACACAAGTCTTATCCAAGAGTAAAACAGATAACTGAAAATTTAAAAAAAAAAAAGATCAGCTTTCCGTTTAACGTGGTCACATGGGCGACGCTCCCATAACGTATTCCTAAAAGTTCGTGATTATTTTAAAATTCCTGTATTTCCGGATAAGCCTGCAATCTTCCATGTTGTAAAAAACGAATTTAGGTTTGTGTTTTCAGTAGACAGTATATAAGCAAGATGTAAATGGATAAAAATCCGACAGAATGTAGAAATTTTGAAAAACAAACAAAATCCATAATTGTATTAAACCGTTCTGACGTCGACAATTGACCATTTAAACGGAAAATTGATCTTTTTTTTAAATTTTCAGTTATCTGTTTTTTACTCTTTTGATAAGACTTGTGTTTTTATGTCCATCGTTTTCGTCATATTGAACTGAATTTGTATTTTAATGAATTTTGTCTTGAAAATGGTTTATTAAAACCGAAACGTCTGACGTCGACAATTCTTTCATTTTAACTACAATTATGGATTTTTGTTTGTTTTTCAAAATTTCTACATATATATATATATATATTTCGTTCCTCAGATATAATTATTATTTTTTAAAGCAGCCACTATAATTCGAGGATGTTAGTATACTAATGCAAATAACTAATCCCCATTGCAGACGCTTGCTCAGGCGCATTCGTGTTTATTCAACACCTACAGAGCCAACCTGCAGTTTATACTGCAACTATGCTAAGCGGACCCTAGAGTGTCTGGGAGAGAGCGTGTTATCTAGCCTGATCAACAATTTGAACCAGGCGAGAACGCTTAGTCACACCACGCATAAATAGCATTTCATATGGAACCCCTGATATAGGTAGGGTTTCCTTACGTAACCTATGATTTAGGTAACATATTCTTCTGTAACACGTTATATAGGTAGGCTTTTCTTATGCAGTAGGTGATATAGGCATGATTTACTTCTTCGGCCCGCCATATATGTTGGATTTTATTATGTAACCCATGATTTAGGATTTTCTTATATATCGCGCTCCCACCCTTACACTATAGAAATTTTTAAATGTAGCCGTCTATTCTACTCCAATAGCGTCATACCTCGTACCTCTCGCCAGTGGAACACCCTTCCCAATTACTGTTTCCCTGAAAGCTATAATCTCCAACTATTCAAATGTAATGTTAATCGACACCTCCAGTTACCTTGATCTACCCACTATCCTTCTCCTAATCCTTTCTTCTATCACTCCTATCCGCTCTCGCTCCAAATCTTCCGCAACCCCCTGCACCCTAGTGGCTTCACGCCTTGCTCGGGGCGTAATGCTTAAAAAAAAAACTCCTGATGTAGGTAGGATATTTTTATGTAATTTCAACCCGCTATATTAGCAGGATTTTCTTCTGCATCTGATATATGTCCGATTTTCTTGTTTTACCAGTCATATATGTAAGCTTTTCCTATGTAAACCGTGATATAGGTCGGATTATCTTATGTAACCCGTGATATAGGGTGGATTTTCATAATAAAAAAAATATCATTCAATTATATTCATCCTTGATAGTCGGAAATGGCCATAACTTCCTCTGAAGTCATGGCTCTTAATTGCAATAAGGGAAATAATTGCATTATCGGCGAACACTCACGTCCTAGTCTTCCCAGATCCATAGGGAGGACCGTCAAATTATTCAAACTTTTGGACAATATCAGGTCGTTGTACGTATCGTGTCGTGGTTTTTGTACTCAATAAAGCGGTGTTGGTTGTATATAAGTGGGCTTCGGTGCTAGACAGTCTTCCAATGAAGGCTACAAAGCCTAGTCGACTTAGATGTACACCCTTAGCTCGAGGCGAATAGGGATAGCTTCATACTTTTACAAGGGTTAAGTGAGTTCAAATTTGTTTCAGTCAAAGTCTATTCGCTGATTATAACCAAAGCCACGCCCAATGATTGTATAAGTTTCATACTTTAGCTCCGGAAGAATTCGAACTCGGTATCGAAAGTTGATTTTTTTCTGAATTCCTGTCCACTGATTATAACGGTAATCTTCACTTACAAAAGCCAGTCAATGTAGAGTGCTACTGAGTGAATTTTTCCATGAACATAAGAGGAGGAAGCGAATGCAAACTTTTCAGATAAAAAAACGGTTTAACCCGGACTTGTTTTGTGCTGCTAAACGCTCATTCGTTTGAATACTTGTTATCACTTCCGAAATTCTCGTTGTGGACGAGACTTTGTAAATGGTAGTAGTAACGCCTTCAAATAATACTCGCACTAACAATAATTTTTCAAATAGTAATCGCCAAATAGTAATTCGTATAATGATCAGTCTAGAGGATAGAGAATGGCGATCACTTAGACGCCACGCTAATTCCTATTTCTACGTTTCGTTTACGATCACATGATCTACTTGTTTAATAATGGAATCGTCCATATTTGCTTAATTGTGATCTGGGCTCAAACTACAGTGTTTGTAACGACACTTTATTCCTAGACAACAATTTGAAAAGCTTATGGTTGTAACGATCGGGAAAGCATCCTCTTGGGAGTCGGTTCTCTAAAGTAGCAGCACTTGGGAATATCTATCTCAGTTTTCATCATCTACCTATCTATCTCAGTCTTCAATCTATCGATCTATCTATCTATCTATTTCTGATCATATCTATATATCTATCTATATCAGTATTCTTCCTATCTGTCTATTTATCTATCCCAGTCTTCATATTCTATATAACTAATATATCTATCTATCTCTGACCATATCTATATATATATCTATATCAGTCTGTTCATATTTAAGTTTGTTCATATCTATGTTAGTCTGTTCATATATATCTATCTAAAGTCTCTTATCTATCTATCTATCTATCTATCTGTCTGTCTGTCTGTCTGTCTATCGGTGATGAAGAAAGATTACTCGCTTTTTTTCTTTGGATCGAAAGAGTGA